CCACAGTGGCTGCACCATTTTACATTCTCACTAAGAGCGCAAAGGTTCCAGTTCCTGCACATCCTCACCAGCACTTGTGGTTTTGTTGTTTTATAGTAGTCATCTAGTAGGTGTGAGGTGGAATCTCACTTTGGATTTGATTTGCATTTCCCTCATGATTAGTGATGTTGAACATCCTGTCATGTGCTCGTTGGTCATTTGTAGATCTTTAATGTCCATGTTTATGTATGTTTTCTCCCATTCTGTAGGTTGCCTTTTTGCTCTGTTGTATCCTTTGATACACAGAAGTTTATTTTTTTAAGAAGTCCATTTTATCTGATTTTTCTCATTTCCTGTGCTTTTGGGGTCGTATCCAAAAAAATCACTGCAAAATCCAATGTTACACAGCTTTTCCCTTATGCTTTCTTCTAAGAATTGTATAGTTTCAGCTGGAAGAGAATTTTAATTTAAGAATTTCTTTTGTGACAGACTGTGCCAAATTCCTCCTCATCTTATGCGGTATCCAGCTCGAGCCATAAAGGTTCTCTTGGCAGGGTTTAAACCTCCCTTAAGGGATCTAGGGGAGACAAGAATACCATATTGTCCCAAATGGAGTATGGAGGCACTGTGGGCTATGATAGACTGTCTTCAAGGAAAACAACTTTATGCTGTGTCCATGGTAAGTGTCTCAGCTAGCCACAATTATTGTAAAGCTATTTCTGTGTCCACACTTTGTCAAGTGTTTGTTTCTATGCAATGTCTACATGCAAGAGTATACTAAAGCATATAAAGCTATATAGGATATAGTTTATATGTATAACTTTATATATACATATAAAGCTTAATTTTAAGGCTTGTTAAAATGTCTTAGTTCATGTTTAACAAACTGCTTACCCCTATGGTGATATAAAATATCATTTATGTAATTAATAAATAATGCTCAAGATGACTATCCCATAATTTATAATAGGGAAACAAATATGCAAACAATTAGTGTGAGGTTGAATGAAATAAGTACTATAACAGAGCTATAGCTAACTTTGTGGGTGGGGGAAGTGTGAGAAGAAATGATTATTTGCATCTGGAGAGGTCAGGAGAGGGTGTTTGACCTGCTGCTTAGAAGCCACTCAAGTATTTAACTGAATAAGTAAAACAGGAACATGGCATTTCACCTGCATCCTAAAAGAAGCGTGGGAAAGAATGGTAGTTCTGGTCATTATAGAAAGGCTTGAATTATACTAATTGTACTAGTCTCATAATTGTACTACTTTTGAATTATTTGATATAGTAGAACCTGCATCAAAAGGTCAACTAAAAAACTCCAGACTGTGTTTCATGTAAATGTTTTCTTGTTCTGAGGCTCAGCATGTCACAGTAGCCCACAGACAGAATCTGGCCTGTACCTTGTTTTATTTAGCATAGTGTTTTAAAATTGGAAATCTTACCCAAGAAGCCTGTATTTCTGGCCCTGATTAGATATTCTAAAAACTAGGAATCCTGGGTCTCCCCATCCCCCTGAAATGGCAGTCAGCTGAAAGCGTAGCAGCAGCCCCTTAGATGGGAACGTGTGACGTGACGTTCAGTTCACCTAGTCCTCACTGCTGGTGCAGCTCCGCCTGCTTCCCTCCCTTGTGATGCCTGCCTGGGGCCACGGTTTGGGGATTCCTGACACACTGGCTGTGACACAGATGAGCTCATCATCAGTCAGCGTGGTTCCTGGAAAGTGCTTTTTGAAAATCCCTGTATATATGCTACTGCATGTGCAGAGTGGTATGACTAGCTCATCCAGGCTTTCTCTCAACCTAGTGAAAATACAGACAGGGCAAGTATTTCTTATAGATATGTCTTTTTTCACTTCTCTAATATTCAAAATTTTGTGAGTATATGAGGATAATCAGAACCATAGATATATGAGAGGATTTATTAAGGGAACTGGCTCACACAATCAAAGGTGAAGTCCTATGATAAGCTGTCTGCAAGCTGGAGAACCAGAGAAGCTGGTAGCCTGGGTCAGTCTGGAGGCCTCAGAACTAGGGAAGCTGACAATGCAGTCGCTAGTCCGAGGCCAAAGAGCCCCTGGGAGGTCACTGGTGCAAGTCCTACAGCCCAAAAGCCAAAGAATCTGGAGGCTGATGTCCGAGGGGAGGAGGAGAAAAGGTGTCCCCTACTCAGGAAGGAGAGCAGAGAACTCCCTTTCTGCCTGTTTGTCTCCCAGCCAACTGGATGTCCCTTGCCCACATGGAGAGTGGGTCTTCCTCTGTCCACTGATTTAGCACCAGTCTCCTCTGAAAACACCCTCACAGACACACCTAGAAATGCTTCACCAGCCATCGAGGCATCCCTCAATCCAGTGAAGTTAACAACTAATATTAACCATCACTGTCAGTTTATGCATAAAGGTATAATGCTTTGTGTGGAATGCAAATGACCTATAACAAGGGATGGTGGTGGCAAAGCCCCCTGGCTTCATTTAGGAAAACCTTGTGAGAAGGAATTTAAATAGAGCAGAAGAATGGAAAGAATGGGGTTTTGCAAGAAACCACCACAGATGCCTTTTGGAAGCATAGAGTATAAATTTTCAATAGGCCCCTGAGAGAACGCCTTTTTCCACCTGTGTGAATGGCCAGATGTGAGAGGGAAAAGGCAGCCAAGACATTACTGTTTTCTTGACAACTGTATCTTTTAATTTTAGGCTCCGGCACCAGAACAGATAGTGACATTATATGATGATGAGCAGCATCCAGTTCATATGCCATTAGTAGAAATGGGGCTTGCAGATAAAGATGAATAACGCCTAAGTGTAAGTTCTTGTTCTATTCATAGCATAAGGCATGGGACTAGTGGAGATTAATGCTAGATTGATCAGAAAAGCATCCATGGATTTTCCTTGATTTCTCAAAGGAATGACAGCAACGCTCCCCAAGAATCTCTTCCAGATTTCTTCATAGGCCTTCTCACCTAGTCAGCACTAGTATCAAAGAGGCCCCCTATCTGTAAGGACGCTTGGATGGGCTGTCATGACTCTCACAGTACCAGGGTACATGGGGACAGCAGGAGAGAGTGGGCACTGTAAGTAAAGCACATAAATACCCGCTAAGCACACAGAACTACTGAGCAGCCACCATCCTCGTACCAAGTTACTAAAGTACATGGGTAGCCAGCTAACTTTTTAATCTTGTCCATAAGGAATGATTCAGCTAGACTTGCACATTTACATTAAGTAAAGGTTTAAAATAACACATTTTGTTTTTCAGGTATACAGTGCAGAGCATCTATAGAAGCTTAGAAGAAAGTTTTCTGTTATGTTTAGACTATGTCTTACATTTAGACTATTTCAGGCTTAATTTTCTTAACTTGTTCAGCAATAGTGCTTTACCTCTCCTCATTTTTACATATCGAGCTGTTAGGAATTGTGTGGAAAAAAAAAGTTAATAAATGTTTGCTTCCAAACATTTGCTTGTTTTATTTTACCATAATTTCAAAATGAAATAGCTAAGACACATGAAAAAAATTTATTCATTTTATACCTAATGATTCAGCTTAAGAAGTAAGACATTAGTACGAAAAAGCTGCTCCCAAGCACATTCTCCCTGCATTCTGTAGAAGTGTATTAGTATGTTCTTACACTGATAGAACTGCCTGCGACTGGGTAATTTAGAAAGGAAAGAGGTTTAACTGACTCTCAGATACACATGGCTGGGGAGGCCTCAGGAAACTTACAAACATGGCAGAAGGTGAAGGGGAAGCAAATCACCTTCTTCACAAGGTGGCAGCAGGGAGCAATGCAAAGCAAAGTGGGGGAGACGCCCCTTATAAAACCATCAGATCTTGTCAGAACTCATTATCATGAGAACAATTGGAGATTTTGGGTGGGACCACAGCCAACCATATTAAGAGGTAAATACTACTGTTATGATTTGGTGTTTATCATTCATATAAAGGTCTTTATAATTTTACTACGTATGAATGCATCCATAAATGATACAGTATTGCTCTGTGTATTTTTTAATGTATCTGTCACACAATCATCTTTTATTTTCTATTTTGTTTGCTATTTATCCATGTTGGTATGTGTAACTCAATTCACTTTTACTGCTATATCCATCCGTGCACATAATTTATCCTGATACTCCTTTACCAGTTTTTTTCTCATAAATATTCCTTTAGGAGCCTTGTATACATGAGCAGTTTTCTAGTACATATACATAGTGATGGAATTTGCTGGGTCATGGGGTTACTTTACTTTTACAATTACTTTCCAACTACTTTTTTGCTTTCTGAACAGTATATTCTACCAATTTATCCCACCACTGGTTGTCTGAGCTGTGTCAGCACTTGGTGTCGCCAGACTTTTGCCAGTGGTATTAGTAAGAAAAGGTATCTCACTGCGTATCTCGTTGAATATGCATTCACTGGTTTATTAGCTGGTGACCATTCTGTCACTTGTTTATTGCTTGTTCATATTTTGTCTATTTTTCTATTGAATTATTTGCAATTTTCTTACTGATTTGTAGAAACGATGTATTCTAATCATCCCTGATCAGTTGTATGTCTTCGAGTCTGGGGCTTGCCTTTCCCGTTTTGTAATATCATTTGACAGAAATGTTCACTCATTTAGCAACATTTTTTCCTTTTTTTTTTTCCCCTTTGAGACAAGTCTCACTCTCACCTAGACTGGAGTGCAGTGGCATGGTCTCAGCTCACTGCAACCTGCCTCCTGGGTTCAAGCGATTGTCCTACCTCCCAGGTAGCTGGGATTACAGGCGTGCACCACCACACCCAATTAATTTTTGTATTTTTAGTAGAGACAGGGTTTCACCATGTTGGCCAGGCTGGTCTCGAACTCCTGACCTCAAGTGATCTGCCAACTTTCGCCTCCCAAAGTGCTGGGATTACAGGCATAAGCCACCATGCCTGGCCTATCAATGTTTTCCTTTAAGGTTTGTGCTTTTTGTCTCATTTAAAAACCCTTACCTCTTCTGAGATAGATTATATTACATATATATATATATGTATGTACTTTCTTTGAAAAGTTTTATTTTTCATATTGTTAAGTCACCTGGAATTGATAGATTTCATTAACAAAACCTGATTCATGGTGTATGTGACAGGTAAGGTCTATCTAGACCAATCTGTAATTATTATATAAATTTACAAGTAGGTGACTTGCCCATCCTTCAGGGACATCTTGCCTCCATGAGGCTACAGTAATGTCACTGTGGTAAGATGGAAGGTAGTGGTGGTCCATGGGTTAACACCGGCTACTCATCGTTCACGCCCCTTCTCCTCTCAGGTGTCCCATTTTGAGACATTACAGTGTCTGCCTTGTTATAACTTTTCTCCTCACTATGATTACTACTGGTTGTATGTGACCTATTTATATTCATCCACTGTTGTAACTCCCCATTCTATTATAATGAATGAACCTCTGTAGTAGCTCAAATGCTTTAATTTTGGTAGTAACTGAACATAGTAATATTTTGGCTACAGAGACGTGTTTACTCCTTGAGTACACTTTCTGTGCAAGTCCAGTGCTCTATGGCTGATGTGCCTGTGGGACATCTATGTAATGTACTTCCTGTACTTCTTGGTTTTTATAGCCATTTCTAACCAATAAACACACCCACTTATTGTAAAAACCTGTACAGTTTCTAAAGAGTAAAAATGCTTTCCTTACTCTGTTGAAAGGCAGGGTAGGTGAATTATAAATGAGAGCTATCATTGCATTTCAAAGAATATAAAAAGGAAGATGCCACAGGATAAACATTTATTTTAGAATCCAATCTTTTCCCCACACATACACAATAAATTAAACAGAATCCACAATAAATGTACATTTTTTTAACAAGAAAAATCAGTTACTGTTACTTCATGATCACACAGGGATCGTCACAGCTCCGTGTCCATTAGCACATTACCCTCCTTGTCCTTAACTCTTATCCGACCAGATCTGTACTTCGTTTCTTGATGACCGTTTGCATATACGGTTTTAACAGTGCCATCTGGGTATTCCCGTCTCTTGAACTGGGCAGTATGTAGTTCTCTTTGGCCATTATTAAACTCTATGAGTTTGTTGCCATCACTGTAAAATTTAAAATAGAGTTTCTTTAAAAAAATAGAAAATAGGCAACAGGAAAACTATTGAAAAGTAGCCTTTTGATTCTGGCAGCTACTTCTGGAGACATCCCTTGGTTCTTTCCCCTGTACAATTGTAATTTTCTTCAGTGGTTCTGCTTCATGGTGCTAGTTCCAATTATCAGATTAGCATTTACATGTACCTGTTAAAAGCTAGTTTTAATCATTTATATTTTCACCACAAAATGCTTAGGGATTTTTTTAAACTTGTGTTCTTCCTCTTGTTTGTTATATTAAAATGGGCCCTTCTTTCACACATTTAAAAACCATCTGAGTGCTTGCTCTGTATCAGGTGGGGAAGAGAGCCATTCCTGGGAAGGGGCATGATCAAACTTAAAATCTGTTTTGAAAGAATGGAATGAAAAAGCATCAAGTTGACTGCTTGACATGCCTATGGGACATTCATTCAAACTGAACCCCCTAATATGGATGTCGTGTGTCATCAGAAATACAAGGCTGGGGCACCTTCTGAGCACAGTGAACAGCTGTCACACCGAGTGGTTTTTCTGTGAACATAATGGTGTCATACCGTTGTACTCTGACAATTGTACATGATGGTGTCATACCGTTGTGCTCTGACAATTGAACATAATGGTGTCATACCGTTGTACTCTGACAATTGTACCATCTGGGAAAATGCTTTCTTCTTGTCCATCAGGAAATAAGTTTTTAACAGTCTGGTCAGGAAACGTGATTTCTTTTCTTCCATCTGGGAAATGCTTTTCTGTTTAAAAAGTTACAATAAATATTTTTTGAAGGAAGGGAAGAATTTAATGAGAGGGTGAAACAAGTTTGTACCTATTTGTCCACTTGAGAAATGTAAGACTTCCAGTCCCTCCGGGTACGTCGTGTGAGTGGTCTGGGCAGCTGCGTAGTAGTAGATCTGTAAAGACACACAGTCAGTCTGCCTTTTCTCCCGAGATGGTTAAGCTGTGGAGGAGAACGCCTCTGGACACATACCACTCTCTGGTCTGGCATGACCTGCTTCACGTCACCATTAAAGAAAGTGACGGTGATGGTCTTCCCATCTGCACTCACTTCCTTCCGAGTTCCATTGGGAAACAGTATAACACGACACCCATTCTTATAAACCTTTTCCACCTAAAAAAACACAAGATTGTCACCTAAGGAAGATTTTCTCCTGACCAATATATGCCTAATTCTCCTCCCAACTGCCTACTTTGAATTTTTTTGTAATAAAATGTAAAACATTCCCTCAAAAGATCCTTTATTTCATCAGAAGTAGCAAACTCGTGATTTTCTAATGTTCTCATTCCTTTTCCATGTATTAGCTGGAATTCATCTAAAAAAGAAAACCTTCCCTTATCCTGTAGACGTACAGGAAAGTCTAACTACTACTTTTGACTGTTGCTCTTTGTCCTTCTGTCACTCCTCAAGGATAGCAGTGAACTCTAACCCTATAATTTCAATAGAAATGGACCAGTTTAGGGTATTTGATAAGTAAATTTTCCATAAACCTGAGGGAAAAATTCCCTCATCACCTCTAACCTGTATATATCCCTTTCCTCCTCATTCCCTTTAGCTGGAACCCCCAGGCAGTTTTCCCACTAAGAAACTTCCCTAAGCATAAGAATAAAACTGTTGGCTGGAGACAGGGAGAGAGGCCCCTGATTCAGGATCAGTATAAGAAAGGCTGCAAGAAAGGAAGACCTAGAATGAACTGAAGCTTTTAAGAAGTGCCAAGGATTACAAAGGCTTTGGAGTAAGAACAAAAATCATACAGCGATTGTATGCCTTCTTTTGCTGAATCTCTGAACGAGAAATGGCATCTAAAGGCAAGTTATCCAAAGAGCCCTTATTTTAGATTCTATGTGTTTCAACTATTTTAACCAATGTTTATTTTTTTTAGAATTCATTATTTCAAAAAAAATTTTAACCTTTCCATCAGGATGACTGATTTCTCCCTGTATGTTGTGGTCTTCCTCTTCCTCTTTATATTCAGAATCTGGGAAGTTCAGTGGTTCAAGTGGCTCCCTGGGAGAGGCAGCCTGTAAGCACAAGACATTTTAGCAGTTAAAACCTCTTACTTCCGAAGCCAGATTCTGATACTAGTGTTTACAAAATACAACATTTATAATGTTAAGTAAAAACTCTTTTACTTATGGCTTAGAAACTTAAGTCTATTCACACATTGATTTCAAGCCTGAGTAATGTATGTTTGAATATATAAAAACAGATTTACTTGTCCCTTATCCGAATTGCCTAAATCACGAGGAGGTGCAGACTTGGATCTTCGAGGTGGATTGCCTATTAGAATAAAATTGTCAGAGTTAGATTTAACAGTTAATTGAAAATTTTACTAGTATGATCAAACATTTCCTTAGTTCATATCCTGTGAACTGCTGTCCTTTATCCATTAGTTAAGGATGTCTTAATGTTTTTCTTTACTAATTTGTAGTTCTCTGACACAGGTACTCAAGTCCTAGATGTCCAAGAAGACAGTATCTGTCCTCAGAGTTTACAATCCTGGGGAAGAGACAAGTGATCAAACAGCCTGACAGACAGACCCAAATGTATTTCAGAGACAATCACAAGGTGTAAGGTGCAGATAAAAGGCATCTAACACCTGTGGAATTTGGCTTCACCAAATAACAGGGTATTTAGTTAAAACATAAATGCCCTTGTGGCTGTGGTGTAAAGTTTTTATAATATGACCAGCACACCAATCACATACTGTACCAGCAACACATACATTACAAAATAAACACACCTCCACCAACAACAAAGTGAGATGAATCTCTCAAAATACACTGAAGTGCCAGTATTTTCATCCTATGTGCCAATTCATATTGTAAACACTCAACTTGGAAGGGTCTCGAGCAAGTGCCAGAATCTGACCTACATGTTAAAAAGTGTAACGGAGCTGGATGTTACAGGAGAATGGCCTGAAGGAGGAGAGCGAAGGCAGGCGGTCAGCCAACAAGCTGCCGGGCGTGTGAGGCGGCTGTGCTGTGCCTGTGAGACAGGAATGGTTCCATTACACCACGGGAAACGACTGATTTGTAGGTCCCAAACTGCCACACATCAGCAATTTCATGATTCAGTGTAACTAACAGATCCAGAAAATAACATCCGAAGGATCAGTCTAGGGACTGCTGGGAGTGGATGGTGAAGGATAACAGAAAAAGTACTCGGAGTACACAGGCGTCTGGGCTTGAGCCAAGGGGCAGATGGCAGACAAGGCTCTGGGGGAGAGCAGGAGTGCTCTGTTTGGGATGACACAAGAATGTCAAGCTTCACCCCCAGAGGTTATGTGTGCAAAGTTAACTATGACTAAAGCTGTGTGACATCATTTCTCATAACCACCTCTACAGAAAAGACTAGAATAATATTCCCATTTTATAGGCAAGAAAACCAAGGCTAAGTGGTTAAATAACCTGCCAAGGTTGTCAACTAATAAAAGGCAGAACCAGGCTGCAAAGCCACTGTATATCAAATTTAATTCTTCTCAGGCTGATTATGAACTAACTTTAACTTGAACCCCGAGTATCCACCAACTAGGCAGGATAAGGAGAGGTGACCGTGGGCATGGACAGGCTCCAGGTGCAAGCACACTGTCCAGAGGACTGTGGGAACCCACCTTGGAAAGTGGGGACGGAGGAAGCTGGGGGTATACAGTGCTGGAATAGCTGGGTGGGGACTAGGGGAGGGATGTTGATGACCCCAAGAGAGGGAAAGAACTAAGAAGCACGGCCCAAAGGGAAAAGCTGAAAGTGAACTACTTAAGAATTTAGGTTCATCAAAAGATACTATAAAGAGCAAAAAGACAAGCCATGAACCAGGAGAAGATACTGATTTGCAATATATGTAGGTTAAAAATATACCACTTATACCAGGGGGCCCCAAGCCCCGCCATATACTGGTCTGGGGCCTGTAGGAACTGGGCCACACAGCAGGAGACGAGCAGCGGGTGGGCGAGCCAGCAAAGCTTCACCTGTATTTACAGCACCGCCCCATCACTCGCATGACCACCTGAGCGCCGCCTCCTTCTGTCAGATCAGCAGCGGCATTAGATTCTCGCAGGAGCAAGAGCCCTATTGTGAACTGCATGTGCGCGGGATCTAGGGTGCGCGCTCCTTGTGAGAATCTAATTAATGCCTGATGATCTGTCACTGTCTCCCATCACCCCCAGATGGGACCGTCTAACTGCAGGAAAACAGGCTCAGGGCTCCCCCTGATTCTACGTTATGGTGAGTCAAAATTATTTCATTATATGTTACAATGTAATAATATTAGAATTAAAGTGCACAATAAATTTAATATGCTGAATCATCCCAAAACCATCCCCCTTCCCCCAGTCCATGCAAAAATTGTCTTCTACAAAACTGGTCCCTGATGCCAAAAAGGCTGGGGACTGCTAATGTATACTACCAAAGTGAGCACATGCTATTGGAAAATGGCACCAACAGACCTGCTCAGTGCAGAGTTGCTACAAATCTTCCATTTGTAAAAAACCACAGTATCTGAGGGCGCAATGAAGCAGAGCACGAGAACATGAGTATGCCATAAAGAGAAGCCATGGACTCCACAGAGGGCCGTTCTGGGCTGCCACTAATCTATGTCTTTAAGCAGGTGGTGGTAACCCAAGTATTTGCTTTGTAATTGTCAAATTGCATATATCTTTCCTAAATTTATTTCATGAAAATAATTTTTTAAAATTCCAGATTAAAAACTCAGATGTGAATGCAAAAGCGCAAAGAAGAAAATGGTGTACTTACGGCCTGAGGATTGAGAAGAATTAAAGTCATGAAAACCAAAACCTATTTTAAAAGACTGGTAAAGTCAACATTACAAGGAAAAACATTAAAAAACACAAACTGAAAAACTGAACCCAGATTGGGAGAAAATATTAGCAGTCCTTGTAACTGACAAAGGATTAGTATGCAGAATAATTATAAGGAGAAAACACACACACACATCCAAAATTTTAAATGGACAAAGGAACAGGCAGTTCACAAAAGGGGAACCTCAAATGCTGACTGAATGTAAGAAATGCTCACAGGGCCTTACCAGCTCACGGAATGAACCATCATTTTATATCAACTGGCCAAAATTTTAAAGTCTGGCCAGATCAAGTGTTTGCAAGTATGAAGAGCATACTCTGCTGACAGTAAAAAACTGGTACCACCATGGTGCAGAGCAAAGGGAAAACCTCCAGCTGACACGGCCCGGCATCTTCCTCTTCACATGTATCCTAGAGAAGCCACAGGATCAAGACACGCTCTGCAGCCCTCCTCATTAGCATGCAAACCTACCTGCCCCTCAGCAGGAATGTTGAACTGCAGCAGTATCCAACGCCATCTATATAGCTACTAAAATCAATCCACTGGAGGTTTTGTGTGTTAAGATGGGTAAGTCATACGGTATTGAGAGAAAAATTGCAGAAGGACACACAGAATATGAAACAATACCACAAGCTTGAGTGTCCCTTACCCAAAATGCTTGCGAACAGTGTTGCAGATCTCCATTTTTTTTCCAAGTTTTGAAATATTTGCAAATACTTACTGGTTGAGCATCCCTAATCCACATTCAGAATGCTCCAATGAATGTTTCCTTTGAGCATCATTCTTGCCTTCAGAAAGTTTCAGATGTGGGATGCTAAACCAGTATATCAATTTATGAACACAACATGGTAAAAGAATTTTAAAAAAATAAGCCTGGGCCATTATCAGGGCAGAAATTAACTGGGGGAATAAGATGATGCACAGGAGCTTCAATTACATTTACAATGTTTTATTAAGTTGGGTATTTAAACTGTTTATTCTTTACATTCTGAAATGTTTTGTAAAAAGATCATGCAGCCTCTTACCTTGCATTGGAAGATAATTTTTCTTGTATTTTTCTACCTGGGTTCCTGAAGACATCTGATTGTTTTGAAATCGAACAGATGTGTTCTATAGCATAAGAGAATTTTTCATTTAAAATGAGTGTTAGTCTATTAATACACTAAGTGAAACTAATAAAACTCAGCTAGTGATGAGAACGCCGTGGGTTTTGTTTATTGATATTATTTTCATTTATACAATAGACCAAAACAAGCTGTTATTTAGGAATCACTACATGCACGTGCGTGCACGCGCGCGCGCACACACACACGCTCCTTTTGACAAACATTCAAGTGAGGACACAGCAGGCAAGGTAACCTGAACCATCTCCTCTGACCATTACAGAGCAGGGTGCTCCCCACTCACTCCCCCCAGGACAGTCCAGCTGAGCCCAGCTCTCCCCGAGACCACCACCGAGCACTCCCTGTGAGGATGAGGTGGGGTGAGTCCTCTCTGCATCCCACCTCCATTTCTGGCCAAATCAAGCCCCAATACTACTTGCCCCAGCCCCCACCAGGTCCCTGCCTGCCAGGAGATGATGCTTCCAGTGCTGTCCTTCTTGGTGTCCTACCTCAGCTCCACACCCCAGTGGTCAACCCTAGAACTTGTTATTATCAATACTATCAACGTCTGCAATTATCAATAACCACAAAATTATTAATTTTCAAGGCATTCTACTTACAAAAATCCAGAAGGTGGGGCATTCTAGAAAATAATCAGCCTGGTCTCTTCAAAAGTTAATGCAATTTAATAAAATGCTAAAGCATTTAGGGGTGAGATGCCATGATTCCTACAACTACCTTCAAATGGTTCAGTGAAACAGGCAGAACTATGGCAAAATGTTCCTAGTGGTTGAATCCAAGTGGGTACCCAGCTGTTAACTGTACATTCTTTCCCCTATTCTCTTATTTTGGGAAGCTTTCACGCTAAAAGGTAGGGGGTGGCGAGGAGCAGAATGCTACTTTCTCACTACTCTCCCGTCTTTGCAGCTCATTCTGTTAATTCCCTGGCCCTGACCACGCTCACGGCCGACAGACATGGCCCTGCGGGTCCTCGACCCCCAGTGCTTGCCATGTCCTGAAAGCCTCCGGGCCCACACTGTCCTCTTGCAGCTAAAGTATGCTCTGCAGCAGGCACTCTTGTCACACACACTGTTAGCTTCCCTCCCTCTGCTCACTTGGTGGCATTCACTTGGATGACCACAAGCTAAGAACAACATACGTGCAATTCTCGTTTTAAAATTTCAGTCTCTGACCCAGGTGGGCCCAGGTACAGCCACGAATCACTCTATTACCCCAGCCTCTGCTTTTGTTCACACAGATGACCTCTGGCTTTCTGTATCTCCTCCCCTCCTGACACCTCCGCCCTCACAGAAGCCCGGGCTGTGCCTGCACCTCCCGCCTCTGGGCATGAAGGCCATTGCCTGGCCACAGCCTGCCCTCCACTCCCTGCCTGGACCCAGCTCCTCTCACTTCGCCAAGTGTGGTGCTTCTGCAATTCTTCCACTTCCTCCTGCATCGATATCTTCCTCTCCACTGAATCAGTCCAACCACTACACAAACACCTGTTAATTTCACCATCTTAAAAACATTTTCCCTATGGCTACTACCCTCATGTCCTTAATTTACTGCAAAACTACAAAGCTGTTATCTGCTCCCAGCCAATCAGGCTTTCCTCTTCAACACTCCAGGGAAACAGACCTTCTCAAGGCCCACAGTTCCTTCCACCTGGTAAACCCCACGGCCGGTTTCAGTCCTCTGAGCTGCTGCCACACCCGACACAGGCGGCCACTCTCCTCCTTGCAGCCTTTTCTTCACTTGTTCTCAGGACACCACACAGCCTCCTGGCCTCCTGCTCTCTGGCTGCTCACCCACTCCTCCCTGCCTACTCACAGCCCTGCTGCCTCTCCCTGCCCCGTGCTGTATCACACATTGGATGACCCCGGGTGTCTGTCCCCAACCGGAGCCTGTGCTGCCGTGTGCAGCTGCCTAGTCGGATCTCCCGTGTGTCTTGTAGGCATTTCAATGTCCCCTGTCCAAGCCTGAGTTCCTGGTGGCCATGTGCTCCCTTCTTGCAGTTGCTCCTAGTCAGTGGGACCTTCGTGAGACCAACACACAAAACTAAGTTGAGGCCATTCCTGACTCCTTCCTTGATGTCACCACCAACCCCACACACAGCTCAACGACAAACACAGTCTGCTTCTCTCCACCTGCCACTGCCACCCGGTCCCCCGAGCCCTACCGTGTGCCTGGTGTTGCCCACGCTCCCTTCCACCTGTTCCTGGTCTACAGCGGTCAGAGGTAAAGAGGCCTGGCCACTGTTTATTCAGAGCCCTTCAGACTCCCCCTCACTCAAAAAACGCCCAGGTGCATGCTGCCATCTGTTAGGACTCCCATCCACCACCCATGTCCCATCCCACCCCAAGGGCTGGCCCACCACTCCTCGCCCATACTCCGATTGCCCCGTCCCAGGCCCACTCAGGCGCGGCTACAGCCTGGGGCTCCTCTGCAGGCTCAGGCGGCCACCCAGCCACTCCTCACATGCGCTTCCCAGGCCGTCCCACCCAGATGGTGACGCCACTCCACCGCCCTGCTTCTCCTGGTCTCATCACCATCTCACACACCACACGTTTTATTATTTGACTTATTACAGTCTTTCTTCCACCACTGGAATGTAAGCTTCATAAGGGTAAGGAATTTTGTCTGTTCACTGCTGTACCCCAAGCGCCTAACGCAGTGCCTGGCACACCCTGGTTGTTCACAAAGATGAATGGAAGACCAATTACTTGATTTAAAAGGGTCATATGCATGCAACTCTCGGCCAAAATCTCCCCTGGTCTGTTTTAACAGAGATGATCTGCCTACTGTAGCAAACCTCCTCCACAGGAATTAGAGAAATGAGTCTGCCAAGTGCCCGTGTATAGCAACGCTTGGACAATCTTTTTAGTGGTGGTAAAATAGGTATCACATAAAATTCACCGTCTTCGGCATGTTTAGGTGCACACTTCAGTGGCATTAAGCATCTCTGGGGTATACTGCAACCATCACCCTCCATCCAGCTCCAGGACACTTTTCATCTTACAAGACGGAAACTATCCATGTTCACAGTCCCTCCCCACTGCCCCCCAGCCCCTGGCAGCCCCATTCTACTTTCTGACTCTATGAATTTGAACGCTCAGATACTGAAGCTCCCCCGGCCTGACACAACCCACTGGCCTCCCCGCCTACCGCGAGCTTGTCCTTCTTCTCCACCTCAAGGCTGCGCTCTACGGCTTCTGCTCTTTTCCAGGCATCCAGTCGGAATCGTTCCATCACTTTTATTTCTTCCCTGAGGTCTGTGTTCTCTCTGACTAACATTTCTATCTGGCTTCTGAGACGGCCGTGTGTACTTGACCATTTGGTTTCCTTTCTTTTCAAATCTTCCCGTAAATCTGCTATTTGCTGTTTTAAAGTCTCTCAAAAAAAAAAAAAAAAAAAGGCATTACTACATTTTACCAGAATTAAGACAACAGAATAGACACCCAGCAATGAAACAGAACAGCCGGCCAGAAAG